TTTATGTATGGGCTTCAATTCTAGTCCTTTGTATTCATCTCCATTGATCTTCCCTGTGAGGCCTAATCTAAATAACAAATACACTTATAACTACTGGTTATCATTTTATGGTTGCAATCCAGATTCAGATATGTGTAAGGAATTATAAAGCAGTAGTTAAAACAGAACCGTTAGGTGTGGTCCCACACTTGTCATTGTCTTGTACTTCTTTAAATAGGAGGAAGCAGAAGTCACTTCTTGAAGGTACTCTCACTCCCTCGCCCATCTGCCCCCTCTATTGGTGAACGCCCGGCTTTTGCAGGTATCTTGTGGGTTTTTGCAACGCAGGCAGGAAAGAACCCAAGAAGTAGAGGTTGCTGCTCACAAGGGTCCAATAAAATGAGGGCTTGAAAGACATCAAATCCAAACCCATCTTCCTGGCCACACAACTCTCACATCCTCTGTGAAACCAAAACACGAGTCATCCTGAGAGCCGAGCTAATTCACACAAGGGAGGTTCATGTGGCTTTGGTTTGGGCTCAGGAACGTCAGACTTGGTTCTTGTTGGCGGTTCTTAGTTCTTGTATTTTCTGCTTCTACCCAGGTTATCTGCAGCCAGATCGAAATGGGACTCCTTGAAATAAACAGAATTTATGACGACCCTCCATGTCCAAACACAGTCAAACGCTCGATGACATGGCCTGGGACTCTAATGTGGCTAATGAGTTATGCCGTGGCCTGACACAAGGATGGGCTGGGCCCACCAGAGTCCCTCGGCAGGGAACTGGGGCCCAGAAAAGCAGAAGCACAGGCTGCGAGTGCTGACATTGAGCCGCCACGACGTAGGGAGTAGGTGTTCAAAGGTTGTTTGTTGGCTGAGTGACTGATGTCCAGGGGACACAGGGAATCCATGATGGCTACTGGTAGACCAGTTTTGAGGAAGCTAGATCTGTGAGAAACAGACGGGACAGCCCAGGGTGAGCAATGCAGATGTGAAACGAGAAGCAGAAGTGTCATGAAAGAAGTCGGAGAAATCTGACAGCCCCTGAAATGTCCTCGGTCTCTGGTGGTTTCTGAATCCGTCCCATCAGGTGGCATCTCTCTGAGCTCTGCATTGGAAAGGCACAGGGGACCGGCAGTGGCGGACAAGGAAGGCCACTGCATTTTAGAGTGAACACTGCATCTTCAATTCCAGTCCACGGCACAGTATCCTGCAGCAAGGTTCTCTTTCCCCGAGGGCCCCTGAGGTGAAGGGGCCACCCACAAGACTAGACTTTGTAAGGCAGTATTTCCTATCCTTTGGACACCTGTGGCGTGCATTAGGTCATTCATTTATCTGAGTATTTTAGCTGCAGAGGAGAGACTCACACAGTTGCTTTTAGGATAAGTATACCCGACAAAGCAGGGAGAGGCCACTCCCACCAAGTCTTTAGCTGTACAGTCACTGGGGCTTAGTACAAGGGCTGAACACCCCCAATCACAGGGGCCAGGCAGAGAACTCTTAAGAGCAAATTGGGCCGGATATCAGAAAACAAAAATCAGGTTGTCCTCCCCTGTTCTACCTTTGATGTTCTCTCTTCTTGATTGAATCACAATAAGTGGCTTTGGCTACAGATAACAGAAAATCAACGCGGTGATCTAACCAATGTAAGTAAGATTCATTATCTTTTATTATCTGACTTCTTCTCAATTCTCAACTGTGCCACCCACAAAGCTGGCTTCACCCTAAACCTGTTCATCTTGGGGTTGTGAGATAGCTGTCAGCAGCAACTGGGGCCATGGGCTGCCTACATCACACCCAGTTTGGAAGAGTGCATCTATCTCACAGTCATGGAATAAGGGTCCTTTCCTTTAGCCTGGCTGGGCCAATTTATGTCACTCGTCTTCTCCTGGGCCTTGGGGGGTGGGGTGGGGGGTGGCATCTGGGTTCCTGAAAGAGTCACTGTGAAGAGCAGGACAGACCAGCGTTGGTTTTGCCTAGCCAGATCCAGAAACAATGAAGGTAGTTTCTTCCAGGCTAGATGGGCATCTGATGGGGAGCAGTGGTGGCGGTGGGTGTGGGTGTGGGTGGAGACAAATAAACACCTGAGTTGAATCCGGATTCTGTTTGGACCGACAAGGAGGGTGAGGGTGGGTGTTGGACAAGTAAGCAACCGTGCCCTTGCATGGGGGCGCCGGGCAGTGGTATCAGACAGAACTCTCTGCAGGGATGGGGGGTGTCCAACATGGGCGTTGCCAGTCACGTGTGGCTACTGAGCACCAGAAATGTGGCTGGTGTGACTGAGGGACAGCAGTTTCATTTTATTAAATTGGAGCTAGTCTAAGTTCAAGTGCTGCGCTGGACAGTGCAGACATTGAGGATATTTTTTCCACGGTAAGGAAAACAAGACAATGGAGAGGCGAGGATTTCGGTAAGCTGGAAAGGGCGTGCCTCATTAAAGGCAGTGCTGCTACCTGCAGACTGGCTGTGGGGGAAGGCAGCTGTGTTTCCCCTCTCTAATGCTGGGTACAAGCCTCCTCAGAACTTACTCGTTTATAACAACTATCTTATGTGTTCACATTTCTGCCGTCTGGGTTGAGGCTCGGCAGGGCAGTTTTGCAGTTTTTCTTTTGGTCTCGCTGGTCGTTACTTGTGTGGCTTCATTCAGCAGGCAGGTGGGCTGGGATGCTGGAGCAATGGGACTGCCCCCCCCCCCCGGGTCGTTGCTGACTGTCCTTCAACATGTGACCTCTCCAGCAAGGTAGCTGGACTTCTTATATGGGGTCAGGGCTCTTACAGGCACAGAGGTGAGACCTTCTTAAGGTGTAGGCCTGGACCGGGCCCAGGGACACCTCTGTATGCCAAGCAGGTCACAGGCCCAGCCCTGTGGGACTGTGACCTATGAAGAATATATACAGGCACAAACGAGAGCAGTGGCTCGAGCAGGGACAGGGTACTGTCACTAGCGTAACAGGTGGCCACAAGTCCCAAAGTTGCCAGGGTTCTCATTTATATTTTGAATAGCAGCAGGGCATCCAAATTTATGTGAAGCCTTCCAATTTTTCAACTGTTGGTTTACCTTTTGGGAGGGGGGCAACAGCTTTACTGAGACATAATTCACACACCATACAGTTCATCCATCTAGTGTTCGATTCAGTGATTTTTAGGACAGTCACAGTGTAGTGCAACCATCGCCACAATGAACTTTAGAATATTTCCATCACCACAAAAAGAAACCGCGGACCTTTAGCAGTCACTCCGCAATCTTCCCATCTCCCCCAGCACCCGGTCATCACACCGCAATCTAAATTCTCTCTGTACAAGTCTGCCTATTCTGTTTTCTGTTATCTGTAGCCAAAGCCACTTATTGCAAGAAAGGGAATCCTGCAATACATGAGCTTGACTTTTTTTTTTTTTTTAAACACTGTAAACAAACCAAAACATTTCTGCCTGCTGGATTTGTCTTGCAACCTCAGGGCATCAGAGATGACAGTGCACAAGAGACCAAGGAACGAACACTCCAAGCTCCTCAGTGTCCGTCTGAACTCTGTAACTGCCTCCCTCCCCGCTTTTCACTCAGCTTTGTGCTTCTTAACTGAGACAATCCAATGGAGGTGGTTTGCTGTCATCCAAAATGGCACATCTATACTGGGCAAAGCTTCAGCCCCAAGTCATCGCACGGGTCACGTCAAACGGCCTCACTTTCATTCCACATTTAACGCTCACGTTCTTCTGGCCTTTGCCTGTGCGTGTCAGGCCTGTCAGTCTCGGAACAAACACTCAGAGGTCCTTTCTCATCTACCAGCTGACGTGTGGAAGCACTGAACTAGGAATTAGCTGCAAGCCTTTTCTTTAAGTCTGAGTCCCAATGCCTACTAGGTACATGTGACCCTGCACAGGGATCTTCGGGGGTTTGCTTTCTCCATTAGTGAAATTAGGAATACAAATATGTGCTGTAGACATCATGAGAATGTAAAAAAAAAAAAAAAAGAAAGAAAAGAAAGTAGGTGAAGCGATGTTCTTTCAGCACCATTTCCAATTCAACCCATATTCATTCACTTATGCAGTTAATTCCACACATGTGTCATTGGCAGCTACTGTGCTAGATTCTAGGAATATAGTGAGGGCAAAAGAAACAAGATCTCAGCCCTCCGGCTTTAAAGATAGGTGTGAGTTTCACAAAATAAGTAATTATAAATTATAATGGATGCGGTGCAAAAAAAAAAAAAAGTACAGGGTGCTCTAATGACATACAAGGAGGGGACCTGATCTAATCTGGGAGGACTGGCAAAGTGAGAGAGTCTGATAATGAGGCAGGCTGCGGGAGGTCGTCTTCTGGCTTCATTGGTGCTCTCATCAAATATGTACCCACTGCCTGCTGTGTGCCAGCACCACCGTAGGCGTTGGTCTAGGTAACGGACATTTAGTAAAGTAAAAACGTTAATGCTTTTGCTACTCCAAGCGTTCGGGGAGGCCCGCCTCACCCGGATGGCTTGTTGGCAAGCCCACGTCCCGGGCAATGGCTCCGTCCATGTCTTAGCCCGAGCGGAGGGTGGCGGGAGGAAGAGGACACGGCCTCGCACTCATTGAATCATCAAAGCCGGGCGTCCTCTTTTCTGAAGCCAGGGGCCTGGGGGTGGAGGACACCCTCCCCCTCCACGTGCCAGGCACTGGTGTAGGTGCCCGCCGGCACGGTAAGGGACAAGAAGCGGGGCGACCCCGCCACCGTGGGGCTCACGCCATGGGGGCCACGGGCAGGCTGGGGGGGCAGGGGACAGAGAAATAAACCAAGACAAAAGGCAGAGACGATGGAGAAGCCGGAACAGGGGGACGGGGTGGGGGTGGGGTCGGCGTGAGACGGGCCGGTCAGGGAACGCCTGCGGCGGAGGAACGACGCTCCAGAGGCCAGAGCTCGAGGAGAAAACAGGGCGCCAGCCGCGCAACGAGGAGGCATGCTCCGGGCGTGGCCTCCTCCGGGGCAGTGGCGCCCAGTGCGGGTGCTTTCGCCGCCCAGGGGCCGCTTGGGAACGTCTGGAGGCACTTTTGGTCGTCACGGCTGGGGAGCGGCGGTGGAACCCGCATCAAGCGGAGGGCCGCCGGGAGGGGCGCGGCCCGCCGTCCGACGGCGCACGGCAGCCCACGCATCCAAGGTGCGCCTGCCCCACGTGTCAGCAGCGCACGGGCACAGGGTCCCCGCCGGAGGGCGCGGGGGCCAGCCTCGGCCTGCCGCAGCGCGTTAGCCTGTAGCACAGGCACAGGCGCAGCCCCGGAGCCGCTGGGCGCAGTCCAGCCTTCGTCGGCGGGCGCTGGGACCTCGGAGTGCCCGGCTCGGAGGTCGCCTTAAAAGCTCTGTCCATGGTAACGCCTCCGCCCTGCTGCCGCACCGACGGCGGAAGCGGAGGCAAAGCGACCTTCCGGGGCGCTTCCGGGGCGGGCCCGGAAGTTCCCGGCGTGCTGCGCGGCGGTGAGCCCGACCAATGGGGACGCTCGAGGGGCGGGCCGAGGCGGCCGGCGGGGCCTGTCTCGCGAGAAGGGCGGCGGCGGGGCCCCGCAGAGCGGCGGAGCCGGCGGAGCGAGCGGCCGGGCGGGCGCATGGAGGGCTCGAGTGGGCCCTCGGAGGAGCGGGCGCCGCTGCTGGGCGCGCGGCGGGCGGCGTTCGCGGGTCGGCGCCTGGCGTGCGCCGCGGTGCTGCTGACGGAGCTGCTGGAGCGCGCCGCCTTCTACGGCGTCACCGCCAACCTGGTGCTGTTCCTGAACGGCGCGCCGTTCAGCTGGGAGGGCGCGCAGGCCAGCCAGGCGCTGCTGCTCTTCATGGGCCTCACCTACTTGGTGTCGCCGTTCGGCGGCTGGCTGGCCGACGCGCTGCTCGGCCGGGCGCGCGCCATCCTGCTCAGCCTGGCGCTCTACCTGCTCGGCATGCTGGCCTTCCCGCTGCTGGCCGCGCCCGCCACGCGCGCCGCGCTCTGCGGGGCCCCGCGCCCCACCAGCATCAGCAACTGCTCGGCGCCGCCCTGCCCGGACGAGCCGGCCCGCTACTGCGCGCCCGCCACGCTGAGTGCGCTGGCGATCGTGGGCCTGGGCGTGGGCGCGGTCAAGGCCAACATCACGCCCTTCGGCGCGGACCAGGTGAGCGCGCTGCGTGGGGGGACAGGGCAGTCCAGAGGCTGCGAGGACCTGTTGTGATTGGCCCCGGGCAGGGGTCCCTAGAGGGGCGAGGCGTACGGACAGAGGGCCGGGGGGCTGCCGATCGAGGCACCTCCTTGTTACCGAGGGGCCATTTGAGGGGACACCTGGAGATCATCAAAGGAGCTTCCGAAACAAGGCATCTGCACGGGCCGGGGAGCCAGGAAGCCCTTGTTGCTATACAGAAATGTATCAAATCAACACGCGCCCGCCTTAAACTTACACAAGGTCAGACGCTGTTACTTTAAAGCGGGAAGAAAGGTGGTGGGGGGCAGGGGGCTAGGTCCTGTGGGGCCTGATACAGAAGGTGATGTCTGTTCTGAATACAGGGGCGCAATGTGACCTGATTTATGTTTGTAAAAGAGTCCACTTCTGTAGCCCAGGGGCGTGGCAGCTTGTGGCCTGCCAGCTAAATCCGTGCTACTTCCTGTTTTTGGAGCCCAGACTATGAATTGGGTTGTGAAATTGTAGGGGGGAAAAAATGAATCTTTTGTGACAAATGAAAATTACATGATATTCAAATTCCAGTCTCCACGAAGAAAACGTTATTGGAACGCTGGCCTGCCCTTCCCTGTTTTTCGGCTACGCAGCGGCCGTTTTCACGGTATGGGAGCAGAATCAAGTAGTTGTGACAGAGACCGAAAGTCTCTGAAACCTAAAATATTTACGCTCTGCTCGTCAGAGGTCGATTACCGACGTCTGGTGGAGGGACTAGGTTGTATGGGGAGTGATGGCAGCAGGATGCCAGGTGGGAGTCTGTTGCAGTAGCCAGATGGGAGGCTTGGACTAGAGTGGAGGCAGTGGACGTGAGCGAAGTGGGTGGATTTGGGATAAGTTATGGAGGCAGAGGGGGCAGGAAGCGAGAGGAAAGATGACTCCTCGGTGTTCGCGCTGAGTAGCCATGTGCTTGCCTACATTCACTGAGGGCTTTCTCTGTGCTAAGTACTTTATTAGTCCACACGACGCCTCGGCTCTTACTGTGCCCCTTTTACAGATGAGGAAATGGAGGCTCGAGAGGTTAAACCATTTGCTCAAAGCTACACAGCTAGACCGGGACTGAGCCTGCACTTGAGAGCCTGTCCTTGGAGTCTGAGCGTCACGCACACCTAGATAAACGTTATCCTTCGCAGTAAGGCGACACCTGGCAGTGACGCTTCAAGTGATGGTCGCTGGTGTCCCAAATTCCTCGTTCTCTGCACCGTGGAATGTGCTTGACACGCTTGATCTCATTTGAACCTCATGTGGATCTAGTTACGCCCGTTCTTCAGACCAGGAACCAGGCACGAAGAAGGGGTTTGTCGTCGCTGCCCTGTGGGCAGTGAGCGGTCAAGCCAGGGGTTTAGTCCAGGTCCAATTTCTTAGTCTGTACTTGCGCCATTGCACCAGGATGAGCGGGACGTGTGTGCGTTCTGTGATGGTGCAGGAGAAGTGCGGTGGGCACAGGGTGGGCTCTCAAGGCCGGGACGTGTGTGGGACGTGTGGCTTTGGCCTTGGGGTGCCATCAGCTCACAGCAAAGGCCACCTGCTAGGGGCACAGTTGTCCATCTTTGACGGCCAGGCCACAGGGTTGAAGGTGACACGAGTGTTAGGCCCCGTCCTGCACTGAGTGTTCCTCTTACACGGTCCTACTAAGCCCCCAACAGTTTACATGCTGTGGCTGTTCCTGTCTCGTCGGAAACCGGCTTCGAAGGTTCGACCCACCCAGGGCCGCACAGTCAGCGAGTGGGGGAGCTGAGTTTGGACCCAGGCAGTGTGACTTCAAAGTTAGTGTTCTCTAGGAGATGACAGATGCTAAATTAATGTAATTTCTTGAAGAACAAACATTCCTGTGAGGGTTATCTACACCACATGACAGAATATGTGCTCTTTTGACGCGTCGTTAAATGTGGACATTAAAAAGAAACGTGTTCTCTTCCACGAGATAAGTGGCCTCATCTCTCCAAATCTGACACACTCATGAAAACCAGGAGCACAGAGACTCAGCGATGTTCGAGGCTGGCAGCCAGAGCAGCGTGTGCTTGTGAGGAGAGCCCACATGTTTGCTAAGGCATCTGTTTTGGGCAGTTGGGCTAAGTGATTGTCGACCACATATTAGACGTGGATGCTGATGTTAAGTTTCCCAGGCGTGGGCATTGGTATTGTGTAGAAGGATGGCTTTGCGTTTAGGGAATTCGTGATGAAATTTCTGGGGTGAAACATCATGATGTTGCAACTTATTTTTAGATAGTTCGGCCTGAAAGCATTTCACAGATATAGAAAAAGAACTAAGGATGTGAGTGATTGGTATAGGAGTGTATGTCTGATTAGTCTTTCAACTTTTCTATTAGTTTAAAATTTGTTTAATACAGATTAAGGAGATGTCCATCCGCTGATACATGGATAAAGCAAAAGTGGTTCATCCACACGGTGGATTATATTGTTCAGCGACAAAAAGGAATGAAGTGCTGACACTTGCTGTAATATGGAGGAACCTTGAAAACATGCTGAGTGAGACGTGCCAGACACAAAAGGCATCACATGCTTCCACTTACATGAAACGTCCAGAGCAGGCAGATCCATGGAGACTAGAAGTAGACGGGTGGTGGCCAGGGGCCGGGGGAGGAGGGATGGGGAGTGACCACAGGGAATCATTTCTCGTTGCTGTGACCAGAGTGAGCAATTAGATGGTTACATGATGGTTACACGACCCTGTGAACAGACTAAAAACCACTCGCTTGTACATTTCAAAGGGTGGATCTTTTAGTGTGTGAATCATCTCTTTAAACGCACGTAGAAGAAAGTCAGTACCCTTATGCCAGGTGCTGGCTGGGCTCTGAAGGGGATTTCAGAGGCTGCCCTCCCAGGGAGGGGCACTGGCTGCTTGGCGGAGGGAGACGTGGCCTGGGGTGTGAAGCATGTCAGGCTGCCCTTCAGGACAGGTCACTGTCCTCTCCTGGCCCTTCTCATTTTGAGGAAAGCTATTTGTATTTGTAAGGTGCTGCTGATCACGCACGGTTTTGTCTCCAGCGTAGGTAGGGCCTCTGGGAAACGCGACGTGGAGATGGACGGGGTCAGGCTGTTTGGAAGCCTGGGTTGACTTTTGAAAGAAGATGAGTAGCTGAAGATTCTAAGGGTGGTGGGTTTTTATGTAAATCTTGCCAGCCCCATATATTCCCCCAGTGCTTTACCTTTTCAAAGGTCACAGTCCTTCTTCATGGGTGGATTGAGGATTTGAAATCCTAGCCTGAATGAAGAAACGCTTATATTACCGATAGAGACAGCACATGATACATTTTTTTTTCCTAGAGAAAAAAAATTCACTGCTGTGCATTTTAAGGAATTTTCTCAAATAAGCCAGCTATTTGGGCCACACTCCGTGATTCTGATCTTCCCACGACCCTTCTCTGAATTGATTGCAGCTTCTCTTTTGAGCAGTCACATGAAAGGCTGTTTGTTTTGCCCTTGGTGTAGGGCGGGGACGATGATGTAATGTGACCAATATGCAGTGACAGCCGGGACTCCTCAGCCCAGGGCACCTGGCATGTGGTGTGCAGTGTGTAGGAGTCAGGTTCCCATTTGCTCCCAAGGAATCGCTGGTATGTGGTTATTTGGGGCCTGGGCACCAGGCTTAGCTTCCTCAAGTCAGTCCTGGTGAATTCCACTTGGAAGTTGAAGCCAGCTGGCTGGCAGGTTTACACAGGATGCGAGTTTAAATGGAATCTTAAAGTTAGGATTTTGCCAGGCTCATTGAATGTTAATTTTTTTCATGCTTTGTTTCAAGAAGATACATCTGAGGATGCTGTTGGGACTGTGCACAGTGCCCCTGGGGTGATGGGCAGGCCCCGGTGTATTTCAGCGTTCATACGTTGTGTCAGCATTAACTGTAGACTTAGGTTTACTGGCCCCTTCCCTTTTAAGCTCCCCCCACACCCAATTACTTGTTTTTATATCTTAAGCTACAGCTTCTCTGCCCACAGATTTTCTGTCCTCTGGTCTGTTTCCAGGGTAGCGTGACGGTTTGAGCCCAGCTTAGTGACATTAAAATCCACTGTGTCCGCATGGAGAGCTGTCTGCTCTGCAAATACGAGACGTTCCCCAGACAAGTCATTTATTCAGTGGTCACGCCAGCATTTGGTCCAGGGCCTCTGTGCAGATCAGATGTGGGTGGCAGACAAGTGTAAGCGCCTCCTGAGAGCATATAGTTTATTTAAAACAGGTTTCCAGTTTGGGATGGCAGTTACCATACAGTTACTTCAAGCGTGTTACTTGCCAGCCCCGTAACAAAGAGAGGTTCAAGTATCATCAAGTAATGTGACCGCTTAAAAGATGCTTTTCGTGGATCGTGATTGGTTGTTTGGGCCCCGTTAGAACCCTCATTTGTTGTTTAGGCGTTTGCCCCGTGGACCAGAATTCAGATCTGTTAACTGGAACGGAAGTTGTCCAGCCTTTCCATAACCTGTGCCGTCAGGACGAGACAGCAGGAGGGCTGACCGCACGCTAGACAGCCTGCGCGACGCCCAGCACCAGCCTTAGCTAGGAAGCTTGTTTACAGAGTGCATGGCAGCCTCTGGCTGGTGTGGACCTAGTTCTCGGTGTCCATGCGGATGTGAAAACCCAAGTGGAAGGGAAGCTGTGGGTGGCCCCCCCGCCATGGGCTTGTGGAGAGTGTACACCCAGAAATGGGGTCTGTTGCCTCCTCGGTGCATATGTGTATCCAAGTTCAGGAAATCAGGGATTTTTGAGTCTTCCAGGAATCTGTCCTGGTCAGAATGTCCCCTGATCCCAGTGATGGCCTTCCAGATCTAAAAATAGCAGCTGGTTTAGCGTCTGTAATTCCCTCTGTGCCCAGGTCTCTCCAGGCAGGAGCTGTGGGGCTGTGCCTGGAGCAGTCTCCCGGGAGTGAGTGGTGCGTCTGGAATGTGGGCCGTGTGAATAATATGCCTTTGGAAGGAGCGTCCCAGGTGCCCCCAAGCAGGCGGTCCACACGGGTGTTTTGAAAACCCCTCCAGGACTTGTCGGATGTAAGCATAATTGGGAGAAACTCTCCCCAGATTGTGTAGTAAGAGAGTAGCATGCTGTTTTTGGTCTGGGGATCCCTGAATATATCTGTAAACAGTATGATTGTGCCGCATTTGTTAAAGGCTGTGATGACAGCAGTATTTATAATCTATAAAAAAATACTTTTAATATATAGAAACATTACGTCTGTTTCATCCTTGAAGTTTTTCAGACGCTTTCCCATCTGTTTCGTCCCGGTTGTTTCAGGTTAAAGATCGGGGACCAGAAGCCACGAGGAGGTTCTTTAACTGGTTCTACTGGAGCATTAATCTGGGGGCGATTGTCTCGCTGGGAGGCGTTGCCTACGTCCAGCAGAACGTGAGCTTCGTGACTGGCTACGCCATCCCCACCGTCTGCATCGGCGTCTCCTTCCTCATCTTCCTCTGCGGCCAGAGTGTCTTCATCACCAAGCCCCCCGACGGCAGTGCCTTCACCGATATGTTCAAGATCCTGGCATATTCCTGCCGTCCCCAGAAGCGAGCTAGAGAGCACGGTCAGAGTGGGTGAGTGTGACCCGTCATAGGCTCGCCTGCTGGCCCCTCCGCCACTGTGACTAAAGCACCTGCTTCCGGCGTCTGTCGCGTGCTCACTGTGCAGGGCGCTGGGCGCAGCGGTTTATGTGTCTCACATCCTTACTTGTGTCATCAGCACGAGGCGGCGGGGAGGTGCCTGTCTCCACCTTACAGCGCGCCCAGCTGCCTGGCTCGCTCTGCTTTACGTTGTAACCCGCACGTGATCTTATCTCCCCGCTGATGCAGAGGGAAGCCTGTGACCGTTTAGTTACATGAGGACGGTGCAGATATGCCGGGGTCCTGCCTCGGCGTTCCAGAAGAACAGTTCCTGAAGTGGAGGGCGAGGTTTAAGGAAAAAGAAAGAAAGAGACAGAG